GGAAGTTGATTTTGTTTAAGAAGTGCTTTGATTAGCTTTTTAGAGGTGATTTTAGTGTGTACAAAATAAGTATGTGAGAAAAGTTTTATCTTAGAACTTACGTGAAAGCAATTTTTTTAGGTACTTATAGTGTTTTTCAAAACACCCTCTGATAAAAGAAGTCATGTAATACATTGTGAACTTAAAAGCAATAAAGATCAAGCTGGAAAAAAAATTATTACTTCAGATCTTAAACGTAAGAACTAGTAGAAAAGTTTACTTTGATTTTATATGCAAAACTTCAATTTATTTTGTTTTTCAAATTCATAATTTTTTTTAAAAAATCTCTTAATTAACTGCACATGCTAAGGAGAATTTTCATCAATCGAGTAGTTTACAATATAAATGATTAAAATGGACTTTTTTGGCAAAATAACAGACATTTTTTCACAACTATCTAGTTTAATTAATTTTTCAATATCTATATATTAGTTAGCGAAAGCTTGTAAAAAAAATAATTCATTAGAAATTTCATTGATGAAAAGAACTTGATAAATTTTTATACGCAAAAACTACCGGTGCTGTGCAAATATTATATATATATATAGAGGGTACCAGACTACCAACACTTTTTTGACTTTCATCTTTCTCATTAATAAAATTTTAATGAAGGATTTTTTCCCCCAATCTTCTCTACTAGTTATAGGCAGCTCTTTCATATAAGATCAGACGAAGTATCTTTATTAATGACTTGATGATATGAAGTAATTAATTAATAATGCCGATATTTGTGAAGGAGTGGATTAAATATTATAAAATAAATTAAGAGCCTATTCAATGTATAATGGGTGCCAATGTCGTGAGATATTGAGTTGCCTCAATGTCTCAGTGACAATCTTCTTTTGGGATTTGCCTCCAGAATGTATCTGCAGGATGATTCCTGACGCGTGTTGGAGCGTGCAACGAAATCCTTCATGGAGAAGGGAAGGAGGGAATAGATAGGGATGCATGCTCTGCGCTATACCACAAGTCCACAATCCCTTACTAGAAGACCTCAAACCTACTTCCTAACACAGTTTACTCCATCATGCATGTGGCTCTACTGTTGCATGTAGGGTGCGCCCGCAGATGGATCCATGTTATTCTCTATGGCGTCCTATGCTAGAGTCATATTCAATACTAATTCCTGTTCTAATTATAAGATTTTATTTATAAACTATAAACAGGATCTTATAATTAAAATTAAAGATAGTACCGTATGGGGTATAGTTGTCTTGAATCACCGGCTTTAATTGTTTGCTTTCTAGTCTGTTTTGTCTCTTTATAATTTGGACTTTTAGTTGTTGTGATGACTTTCTTCTCAATGCGAAATTTCCTTTTTCATTAAAAAAAAAGGCTATGCATTACAAATGAAATACTACCTTCGGTTCTTAATATAAGATCTTATTTAACTTTTATTTTGATTATAAATATAAGACTCCAATCCATTTTGTTTATCATATTTATGTATTCTTTTCTCAAATTAATCTTTCTAACAATGATAGTTCTAACCAATATACTTAATTAGTACGGATATTTTAGGAAAGACAATACCTATTTATTACAAATAACTATCTTAACTTCTTTCCTTAATCTTCTCAAATTAGTTAATTAGATCTTATAATTAAGATCAGAGGTAGTATATACCATTTGAATTGTTGAGTTCACTAGTTGAGATCTCATGATGAGTTGGTATTGTCCAGAGAAGAAATGAATTTTATGCATAATTTTCTTTCTTAATTTCTTTTGTCTTTTTTTAACAAACATATAATAATGTCAGTGTCCATGTCCATATTTCTCTTATTATTTCTAAAATATTACATTATTTTAATTCTCCTACAATTATCTCTTATTATTATTTAATCTATAGATTTGGTTAAGGTTGTAAATTTATGTCTTTTTTTGACAAACATATAATACTCTCACTGTCCATGTATTCACTACTTACAATTGAATGAGAAATACTCTTATCATCTTCTCTTCTTTTAAATTCTCTGCTATTTTTTTCCTATTCTTTCTTTAGTTTTATAATAACAATATTTTTTTGGTATAAGTATTTTTTATTAAAGATAATTATATTAAAACACTATCAGAGAATTTATTAATTGCGAGTCACTTCTCTGAATGGAATGGAGATTCAAACCTGTTTGCATGAGTAGCTAGTCCCTTCTCTATTAGACCTGACTTCGAATTCATTGACACTATATATGTCTTAATTGCAAGATTGGACAAGAGACGTGTTGATGGTTTTGCAGGAACGGCCCCATCGGGAGACTTTATCACTTACTGGCATCTATTATTGACACAGCTTTTACTCTTTTGTCATATTTCACATGAATAAAAAAATTTAAATTATATTAACTTTTTTAGTTTCATATAAATCAATAAATAAAGAAAAATTTTAAACTATATTAATTTTTTTATAAAATATAATAATTTTTTAATTTTACTCATATTTAATATGTATACTTTTTTAAAAAATAACTATCCAAATTATAATAAATTAAAGTTAAAATAGTACATTATATTAACAATTTAATAAGGTGATTTATAAATAGGATTAAAAAAGTATTTTCTCCGCCTTATAAATAAATAGGACCATAAGAGTAAGCATTGGACATAATGATGTGTCACATTGTATTTAATATAAGTTTTGAAAATTAAATGTAACTAAGCTTCAATGTATTTTGTTTATATATACTCTTCTGATCTTATTTATAATGCACTTTCAATATGTTTTATACAGTATTTTTACATAGACAAAAAAAAAATCTTAAACTTTATTAACTCTAAATTAAAATTTAATAACTTTTCAACTTTATCCCTATTTAATATACATTATATCTCGTATAAACAAAATCAATACAATAATAAATTAAGAGTAAAATTATACATCCATACAAAAAATTCTCTCAGTGCCTTATAAATAAGATCAAAAAATGTCTTCTCTATCTGTCATATAGATATAACCAAAAGAGTAGTTAACTACAACTATTAAACAAATGCTTTTAAAGAGTTCCATATTATGTATATGTATATTGTGAAAAGTAATTTAATAGCATAAAATTTTGGGTTAATTCAATTTTCAGTCCCTGAAATTTGCTCTAATTTTGGTTTTGATTCCTCAAATTTCCAATCATAAGTTTTACTCCCTCAAATTTTTTTTATTTAAAATGTTATCCTTCCAATTTAATAAAATGTGAACGATTTTGCTTTTTGAGGTAAAACCTATGATTTAAAATTTAAAGAACTAAAACTAAAATGAAATAAATTTAAGGAGCTAAAAATTATATTAACCTTAAAATTTTTTTTATACTTTATTAAATCATAGGTTCCCTTTAAAATCTTGATATTAAAATATTTATGTATAAATAGGTATTTAAGGTGTGCATCTACATGCATTATAAGTCTTTTCATATGCAGAACACAATAATATTTTTATTTATCATCTTTTAATATGCGTAACACAATAATAATTTTATCTATCAGTCTCATGTATATTGATATTTCGCCAAACCACTTAATTTATATGGATAATATTTTTTTGCCAACACATGGATAATATATTATTGAAGATTGTCCATGTTAAAAGGAAGAGCGAGAATCAAATAGAAAAGCGGAAGATATTCTCGGCATGACAGGCTGAAAGACTAAAAAATGTAAAGATAAAAAGCCGATGCTTCAATAACTTATGAAAATAATATAAATTTAAAGTATATTTTTATGCTGAAAGCTTTCAAAAGTTTTATTTGAAGCAAATATCATAGCAATATCATCTTGAAAGTTCACAAAATATAGTAATGTTAGTTGAATTTAACTGATCCAAGCTTATAGTCTAGGCTCACTTTGAGTAACAATTCATGAATAGTTTGCACTTTTATTCTTATAAGAAACATTTACAAGATATCTAAAAGTTTTTTAACTAGTTTTCTATTTTATCCTAATTAATCACTTATTTTAACACTCAATATATTTATTATTTTATTTTTTGAAATATATTTTTTTTTTTTTTATTCTCCATCTCATACTCTCTTTTCCCGTAAACAAGGATATATTTTGACAAGCTATTTAAAAGAAAATGACAAAAAATACGTATTGTATCTTAAAAAAACAAATAGGTCATGAACGGTTCTTGTTATAGTTTCGAAAAGTTAAAATCTGTAAAAAGCATTTTCTATTTTTTTTAGAAGATTACAGTTTGTACATGTTTATTTTTTTGGAACTAATTTTAACTAATTAATTATTCTTACATAAAGAGACTCAGAGATTAGTGGAGGGAAATTTTTCTTTACTTTTCCAAATTTTTGAATCTCCATTCTTCAAGTTTCATCCAAAAAGAATGAGACGTGTCCAGCTAAGCATATGAACTGAAGCACCATCTTGTTCATGAAGGTAGCAATTTTTTCCAATAACATCTCACCACGTGTCCTAGTATAATTGGCAAAATGACGTTAACAGGGCCAGCGCCATACTCGTAGCATTAAATGATGGCAACGCTACCCACAGCTTCTGCCCCCTCATTTAATTCATGAGCAGACTCCTCACATCAGATGACACATATATCCCCACCCTCACCAGCGAGCGCGTGAATCACACCGATTGAAAGAAAATACAGGGAACACCATTCACACTTCCGTTTATTTTATATTATAATTTATCTTAGATTTCATCAAAATATTAAACCAAAAAAAGAAGCAATTTTCTGTCACTAATTGAGAATGCAAGGGTTGACCTGAGTCAATACCCGAACCACCACCCTTGCCTTGCGCTAAAGATCCGGATCATATGAGTTTCGGATCCTTACCACCATGCAAGGACTTTGTTCTCTTTCTTGTTGATTCCTGTGCGGTTCGTTCTTGACTCAACACCCCACATGAAACCCAAACTCGCGTCTTCTACACGCGCCACCCTGACAAATTAACTAAACTGAGCTTTCAAGAAATTAAATAAGCACAAGCGCCCCTACGAAAAGCATATCAGCGAAACCCCAAAAAAAAAATTCAACTAGGTCACGTGACCTACGATGCACCACGTGAGAGTCAGCTTTCACAGCGAAGAGCGGCCTTTATTTTCTGAACCGTGCACGAGATGAGATTGTTCACCGTCTCCACCGATTCCACCGTGAGCTTGGCCGTAGGAAGGCTATTCACGAGGATTTGAAAAGCCACCGTCAGGAGGGACCCACTCACCCTCTCATTCACGCCACCGCCGTTCACATTGCCGTTGCTCGCCGGCGTTTGTGACCCCCGCGACCCTGGCCCATCCGGGACTATAGCGAACCCGGATGGCAACAACGCCACATACGCCGAGTCGCCGCCGTTCATCACCACGTGCATGGCCGGGATATCTACCGGCGCGTACACCACAAGAGATCCCGCCGCGTCTATGCATGTCTCCTGCAGTATCAGCATGCTACTCTGGTTTGCATTCATCGCCTGCGCAAGAAAATAAAACAAATTAAATTGCTTTTGTCTCCATCGTTAAAGTTCACAACGAGCCATAGTCAAACCCCGGGACCATATTTTTATTTCGATTATTTATTTATTTCTCCTTTATTTTGGGGGGGGTTAAAAAGGTTAATTCACAAATTATAGTATTTTTTTTTCAAGCAAACAGGTCAGAGAGTTGCTCAGAAATTCAGAAAGTTGACAACCGTCCTATATTTTGACTTTTTTCATCAAACCTTGCTCCGAAACAAACACCGCTGCCCTATTTCTGTTCCCCTCCTTGTCCACACAGATACTTCCAAATTTCCCAACCTGCCCTTCCCGATTTCACCTTTTTAACCAAACACCATTACACTAAACGACAACGCCCTATTGACCTTGCCTCACATCGCAGGGTATTTTCGTCAATAAAAAAAATTCCACATGCAAGAGTGAGAAGAATGAGAGAGAAGGTCGTACACTCGCTCGTAGGAGAGAGACGCAATTGCCGTGGTCTTGGCCTTTGGCGATGTGGGCCATCTCTTGCATGGGCCCACCGTTTGAGAGTATGTCCCATTCACTTCGGAGATGCTCATCACGTAGGAAATCGAACAGTCTCTGGGGCGAAACCGGGAGCCAAACGGAGGTGGCTGCGCTTAAAACTATCCCCGGCGGCTCGCCGGGATCGTCCACGCTCTTTCGAGTCATCACCCGGACGTCCTCGTCCACGTTGCCGGCGTTCAGTTTATTCCACTTGTGCACGGTGGAAGCGCAAACTCCGGCGCAGAAATTGTTGGTCATTCGCTGGGCTAGCTTCAGCATGCTCCGCCGGCCGCCGGCAGTTATGGCAGCTAGAAACAACCCAAGAAAACTCAAGCAGTTCAGAGAAAAATACAACACTTGTGAACACTAATACAAGGAATTATTTTTAATAATAGATGAGATAATTATTAATATACGCCGGCGTTGAAACTTACCGGAGTGATCTCGAGAGGGGACGGAGGAGGACATTAAGATGGCGAGGCACTCGCATTGGCGTTGCAGGGTGGCGACCCACCGTTGAGCACCGAAGCCCATGCCGGAGGTCAGCAAGGGTCTATACAATTGGTGGACTTGGCTTTCATCGTATTCTGCATGCTCCACCCATGTCACCTGTAAAATCATGCAAAACCAGTTAACTCCATTAATGGCGTAAGTTTTCAGAATGTGAAGTTTTTATCGTATTTGTAATATCCAATTAAGAATTTATTATGAATTCCTCACAGGATCGTGTTTTAGTAGAGAAAGTTTGGACTTTTCTGATAGAGCACTAATTTCACGATGATCTTGTACAATACGTACACTGAATTCACATGGGGTTCTCCAGATCAAGTACATCAAGAGGATTACAGGAAATAAAATAATCGATTTTCAAAATATTATAGGAAAAACTAAAAAGGAAGAGAAAGCAGATTTTTCTTCCTGGTATTACGATTGGCTCAGATGCGTCCAAAGGATTAAAAAGAAAAAGAATTGAAGCTATTTCTTCAAGGTTCAAGCTAGCTTAAGCCGTCTCACGAGGGATGGAGGAAGAAGATGACAGAAAAATACAAAAAAAAAAAAAAAAAAAAAGCAAAAGAAATCTGGGAAATGTGCCTGAGGATTGGGTTCAATGAAACTAGAGCAACAAACACATAAAATATTTGCTACGTCATGCGAAAAAAGGAGAGGATTTAGAGGAGCAGCGAGCACTGTGAAGAGAAAGAAGCGACATCGAGATTTGCTCTAAAGAAATGAACAAAATAGCCAGTCTTCGACTTTGACTTCAAGGCTCTCTTACAATATTAATTATATATATATATATATATTACACACACACACATGCAACAGAGCTGCGGATTATAGGGGCTAGCTAGCTTAGAAAAAGATGAATAAAATATTGCTTCAAAGAAGACCACTGATTCAGCCAGCATCAAAAACTAGAATAGAAACATCATATTCATTGTTTATAGAATCAAGGATTAAGTAACGGGATTAATAATTAATGTGTTCAGGGTTCAGAAATTTAAGTAAAAGATTAGGCTCTTAGTAAGGAGAAAATAATAGATTAATAATTAATCTCGATTCTGCCCCTCATGAGAGCATATTATTATTATAATACTATTATTCAAGTACAATTATATATTATATAGGATCACAATCGCAATCCATTGCTGAAAATCCAAGTTAGGAATATATTAATGAGACCAAAAGAAGCATCCTACTCAGGTGCAGATGCTTTGACTGTCTAAAATATAAAATAATATATATATTTGGGAATTATCACTGACAGAGTGGTTATGTGGTGAGTAGTCACTAGACAAATTAAGCTAGGTTCCTTCGAACCATGAGCTCCTTAAATAGCTTCGAAAAGCAAAAGGAAGAAACCCCATGATTCCTTCGCCTGGTGTTTTGCCTCTCTTATTTCAAAACTAAAAAACAAGGCTATATATTATTCACAATTTATTTATTAATATAAAATATAAAAATTTATTAACAATGTACTGAATTCATTTCAGTCTCCAGATAATAAACGGAGCACTGGGTTTTGTTATGCATTTAATTATTAATCATTAAACAATGTAAATATATGTGCATGGTTTGATCCTAGGTCATTAAAGAGAACACCGAGATAAAGAATAAACACATGGGATACACAAATACTACCTCATTTCCTTAGCATGATAAGCATTTGATTAATTTGAGAAAGATAAATAAATTACTTAATCATAACATATGTTACTAGATTTTTCTTGCATATTTTATATATCATTTATAAGCTAGACAAATTAATTTAAAAAATAAATATAAATATTTTAAAGTATTTTTTTAAAAACTAAGTCTTGTATCCCAAGAAAACATCAAAGCGGGTGAAAAGGGAGGTTCAATTTGGTAAATTCACTCATGTCCAAAACAGATATGACCCAATGTGGTACAGAGATGAGGTGACATTCATGCGTCAAACCCACCAGAAGGAAACACAAGTTCAATCAATAGGAAACTTAGAGGATCAAAATATGAAAAAGATACTAACTGGGAAAATTCTACTACTACTGACCTTGGAATAACCATTTGGCATATCTTCAACAACGCACCCAGAAGGAAGCCTTCTACAGTTCATAAAAGACGCAGCTCCAGAAGGTTCTCGAATGGTATCAATGGAGACATCAACCACAGCCCAAACCCCCTCTGCGTGTTGCTTGCAGAAACGAAGAAAATTCACCTCGCGAACTGGCACCAACGGCGAAAGAACCTGGAGCTCAGCATGCATCTGCGAATTCCAAGTTTTTTTTCCGTATAAAACACTCAAATCAGTAACATTCTTTACATGTTAATCTTCTGAAAAAAGACGAGTTTCTTTTCAAGTTTTACCAGTTGGAGGGCACCATTTCTAGTTCCATTTATTCCACCGGAGATTACTTCAGCGGTGGAGGTTCTGGCAATTAAACAAGGAAACATTTCTGCCCATCGATTCTATAGAAAAATAAAGCAAATGGGTTTGGTTCAGACTTTGATTTCACCGTAAAATGTGAAAAGAAAAAAAAAAGGGAATTTGAAGGTGATGAATATATAAATATATCTATATATTATAAACTTACTGAATCCATTAGAGTTTCAACGAGGGCCAAGCTGTTTATTATGACCATTCCAGTTTCTCTAGAAGCTTCGGAGACGAAGCCATTGGGTCTCATTCCAATGCAAGGATTACTGAATGTTCTCATGTACTCTTCTTGGTTCAGAATCTCTCTTCCTCCTTCTTCTAAGCTTCTTAACCAGAGAGGTTCATCTGTATGCACCATCTTCACCAACTCGTCCATGGCCGCCAAAGCTAGTTCCAGAAACATAGACCTCTCTATGGACCTGTCAAGCCCACCGCCGACGACCAAAGTGCCCGATGGTCTGGTCAAAGTCGTCCCCGACGTTGTTGTCGCCGGAGGAACCATGGCTAGTTGGCTCGATATCCCAAAACCAGGCCCTAAAGGCAAAGTTGAAGGCACTGTGCTCATACCATCAAACCCGTTGATGCCAACTCCGAGTTCTAAGCTTGAGTTTGGCAATGGAGGACCAATCGGACTGGTCAATGAAGAAATGGGTCGGCCGAGAAACTTTCCGGCGAGAGCACAAACTCGGTCTAGTTCGTCCTTCAATCGAGCGTTTTCAATCCTTAGGTGTTGTTCTTCGAGGGAAATCTCACCTATAATGGCTGGGCCTCCACAATTTGAACATATAGGATTCCTCATGGCTTCTCTTATCGACATGTTCTCTGCTCTCAGTTTATCGTTCTCTTGTCTCAGCAAAGTGTTTTCATGGCGCTCCAATTGGGTCTGAGACGAAACAGAAACATAAGTATCGCATATACCTCGTTGAACCCGAACACGAAAAACATGTCCAAGAGGATATTAGTCGTTACCTTCATCTGGGTTCTTCGATTTTGGAACCAAAATTTCACTTGTCTGGTTTCCAAGCAAAGCCTTCTGCTCAGTTCTAGTCTTTGCTTCTCATCTGGGTGTGGACACTCCTTGAATAAACTAAACCCAAGGGGAAAAAAGGACAGTAAGGATTGAACAAGAACCCAGAAAATTCTGTGATAAAATTAGAGAGAGAGAGAGAGAGAGAGAGGAACTGGGAGGGAGATCATACGCTTCGAGCTCTTGTATTTGCTGAGGGGTATGTCGGTGATAACGTTTTTTCCTCGGACGGTTGTCGGCGGCGTCCTGATCGTCGCCGGAAGTGGGGCCTTCCATATTATCACTGCCAGATCTGCTATCGTGTTCTTCTTCTCGGCTTCTTCTTGCCCCAACATTTGGCTCGTAGCTCTCAGGCATTCTATTCGCATCCCCTTGTTGCTCGTCAAGACTCGTTTGCTTTATCCAAAAGAGAATCCAAAAAATCAAATAAATAAACAAACAAACATACAAACAATATATAGTACAACCCCCAAAAAGTGAGGGAATAATTAACGAAGGAGATCTCACCAGTGCTAGAGAAAGCCCAGGAGAGTTGAACATGGATTTGGCCATTGTTGGCGGTGTGACGAGACGAGGCTGTGAGATTGAACCACTCGACGGCATTCTATTATCGTTGGTGCCGTTGCTGTAAGGAATATCGGCGACGATTCCGGCACCGCCGCCGCCCCCTCCTCCGCCGCCGCCAGCACCACCACCACCCCAGTTATTGTCGAGAAAACCCCCAAAACTCATCAAAGAAGCCACTTTTTTCTTCTTCTTCTCTTTCCTCTCAATCCGAAACTCAGTATGAACCGCTCAGTCTTCCGTACATGAGATTCGATGCAAATTCAGCAACCCCAGAAGTTTTAAACCTCTAAGATGAAATGGGGTTTCGAGAAATCAGAATCGACCTCGAGTGCGTGTGGGGGGTGTGTGTATATTAAATTTATCTATATAAAAATATATGTTAAACTATGTATTCGCTCTCGCTTGACAAGACTGAGAAAAACGAAGGATATGAAGCTCCGAAAATATAAGGGAGAGAGATAGAGGAGACAAAAGGATAAAGCCCCCCAATGTCTCACCTTTCTCTCTCTCTGTAGCTTGAAATAAAATGTCTTCCTTTGTGTGTATATATAATTCACCTTCTATATTGAGAGAGGAAGAAAGAGAGAGAAGACAAGCTGAGAAGAAGGAGAAGAAAAAAGCCCTCTGATTCGGCTAGCTCGCCTCTTCCTTCCCTATCCCCCTCTCTCTCTCTCTCTACATATGCATATGAACATGACCCTATCCTTCACAGTACAGCAATTTCTGATAATACCCAGAAGAGAGAAGAAGGGAAGAAGGAAAATATATAAATAAGAACCCTAGTCTTCAGTGTGGTTTTATCTCGCTCTATGCATGCTTGAGGGGAGAGAGAGAGAGAATATAAAAATTATGAATAAATTAAACAAAAATAGGGGTAGAAAAGGGAGGCTCATAGATTTGCGAGCAGAAGAGAGAGAAAGGGGGGGAGAGGAGAGAGGGGAGGGAGGGGGAAAAGATAAAACGTAATATGTGGAGTCTTCGAAGCCTTACAAATACATATGAATCCAAAAAGGGCCGGTTGACTTACACCCTCGTCAATCTCGTTTTAACTTTCCCTCCCCACACCCACTCTGAGCCCTCTTCCCTCACAGTTTGATTTTCTTCCCGCAGAGAGTCCTTTGAAGAAAAAGCCTGTGAATGACTGTGAAAATTGCAATCGACCTTTTTGATGACTTTTGGGAGAAAAATAACAAGGAAAACGAAGTTTCAATGACGAAGAATATGCTTTGTTAGAGATCCATGGAGCTGGATCTTAATTTGGGATTCTCAATAATAATAATAATAATATGTTATATTAATATTAATATTATTTATTACATTATATGATGTACTAATTACTCCCAACAAAATTGTTGGATAATTTAGATTGTTTTTTGGTCTTAAATGGCAGTTCTTCATCGTAAGGGAAAAAATTGTATTCTGTCACCAAACTGGATACTAAACTGGAGTAGGAATTTAAGGGTCAGTTAATTAAAAATAACAAAATATAATAATATAATAATTATTAAAAACAAAATAAAAGAAAATATAATAAGAATTTCATTGTAACAATAACAAGTACAATAACATTGATGATTTTAATCTTTATGATTCACAATAACTAAAATTAAATAATTATTAATACCAAAATTATCATTCAAATTCATTCAAATCTACAATAACTAAAATATTAAGAATGGTAACATAATCATTCAAACCGATTCATACCGATTTTTACTAGTTCAACCCTTGCTTGGCTTAAAAATCTAACAAAACTAAACCACTGGTTACTTTATCAGTTTTTTAGTAAACTGATTGCTTCGGTCTGATTTTTTTTTTTTTTCTTGCTCTTGTCACAATTCAAACCCAACTAGTAAAACTTACTATTTTATAAAACTATTGTTAAAAATATAGAATCTACATACATAAAATTAAATCATCAGAATTTGAATAGGATATAACTACAAGAGAAAATATGAAATAAAAAATTGAAAAATGAAACAATTGATGTAAGAAGTTTCTTTTAGGAAGGGTTATAATAGTTTTAAAAAAGTTATTATTTTTAGCATCTTTACTGATTTTTGAGAATCGAGTACAAATTGTCAGAATTGAACGGCAAGATATGGATACATCTTACAATTTTAAGAAAGACTAGGGTGTAATTTTAATCTTAAACTTGTATCTTAAGCGTAATTTTGTTCTTGATTTTTTTAGGGGTTCAATTTTGATTCTGATCTTCTTTTTGGTGCATCCAAAAATCAGAAGCAAAATTGTACTAGAAAATAAAAAGACCAGGAATAAAATTATACCTGAAAAATAAAATCAGGGGTCAAATTATATCACTAAAAATTAGGAGTAAAATTTTACCTAAAAAATAAATCAAAATCAAAATTGCACTTTGACCTTTTTAAGAAAGTTCAAAGTGATCATTATTTTTAAATATATTATGAAAATTCAATATAGAATATTCAATACACACACAAAAACAAAAACCCAGAATCCAGCTTTTATTTTTAAACATTTAATATAACTTTTTTTTCGAGCTCCATTTTGATGGATAAATTTTAAATGTCATAAATGATAAAGGCATATTGTCTCAAAAGTATTATTTGTATACTGATGTGTAAATAAGAACAATTTAACAACAACAAAATAAACTATGAATTTTAATCAGTTAAAAAATACAACTTGGTAAAAACGTTTAATTTGGAAAAAAAAACTTATTGTGCTTTAATAAGGAAAACTTCGGAAGGAAGAAGGTCAAATTTAAAATCTCGAGAATCATTTGTTCAATGGTTGAACGGCAGCGTAACATTAACAAGTGTAGATAATATTTTTAATTATTGTTTTTTAACCTTTTTTGAATATTTTAATTATTGAAAAACTAAAACAAATATCAGTAACATTTTTGTTTCTACAATAATAGGATTAGAAAGAAATAAAGCCCCTGATGTCATACTTCTCATATGTAATGTTAAATTCACATTTGAAGCTATCGTCGTTGAGTATAAAAAAAGAGTAACTATCATTCAACGTCGTGATGTGAAAATTCCGCCAAAATACCTTCTAACTTTCAAAAACCAAAAAGCTAACACCCAATTTTCAAATTTCAAATTAATTCATCTGATTAAAATAAAATTTTGAAATGTTGGTGATTTTATAGTATTAACCCTTGCTTTAAAAAAAAAAAAAAACCAAGTCATCCTCGTCAATCGCCTTGTTTATGTTCTTTTCTTTTCTTCTTTTTGTTTTTCGTTTTTTTTTTCCCCGACTATGGTCAACGTCCGGTGGGCCACCCCTTGAATGCTGTTGAAGTGATAAAACACCATAGTATTACTACTGCAGTTGGTAGTGAGGTAAATGATTTAAGATGACACTCTCTTGCATTTTTTTCATGGAATTGTTATGAATATTGACAATTGTCGCAAATTGCATTGATGAAGCGATGAAACCGGGTACTAGTGTTGCGAGTACTCATGCTAGTAAATATTTTTTAGGTTAAAGTATATTTTTAACCTTTTAATTTTATATTAGATTTTAATTTGGTTATTTAACATTGAAAAACATTTTTTTAATCTTTTAATTCTAAAAAATCATTTCCAAAAAATGATGATATTGAGATATTGAATACTGACAAAACATTCTCAAATACTGACATATTAAGTTTAATTTTAAAAACAATTATAATTGTTACAAAAAATTATAATTTAAGACTAACAGTTTTAGAGTTAAAGAACTAAAAATGTATTTTTTAAAGTTAAGAGACTAAATTAAAACATGATATAAACTAAAAAGACCATAAATATATTTTAGCCTATTTTTTAACATGATCATTTTTTTATAGTTATCTTATATATAATTTTGCATTATATTAACAAAGAGGCTTGTTGTTTCAATGGACATTAAACCATTCGGGATTCAATGGGGGACCTTGACCACCGTGGCTCCGGCCAAAAATAAAAAGTTATTGGTGTTAGAGCTCGGTTCTGATCTTTTTTCTTTCCATTCTTCCATTCTTTTTGCTTTTTTTTTTTAACTCTTAGATTAATGTTTCAATAGTTTAGATTTAAATCTTTTTAAAATTATTATTAAAATATTAAATTATAAAAATAAATAATAAATTACAAAGTATACTAAAATTTAATTTTAATGATTTAGCAAATATACTAAATATTTTTAAAAAAAATTTTATAAGCAGTTTATAAAAAAACTAAAATCTGAACCTTTAAAATATGTTGATCCAATAGCTGGGAAAAAAAAAAGAATAGGAAGGGAGAGAGGTTTGGTGGCCAGTCGATAGTGGGGCTGTTGGCAATGATGATTTGATTTTTTTTTTTTAAATAAGAGGTAATTTCAAAATTATATTTTAGTCATGAGTATTAATTTTGGAATTTTGAAAATTGGAAGCACCATTTTAGGTTTTAGAAACTCACAAGATATTTTATTGGAATTTTCTAAACATAGAAATAGAATAATTTTAAGTAACTTAATAAAAAATTTAAAATTAAAATTATATAAAACTTCTTTAAATTTTTAATCATTATAAATAACTGCCGTAAGTATGCGCTGATAACTCTCATTAATCAATTACAATTACTATATTAAATTATAATTTTGTGCACATTTATTACCTGCTCAGATTTTGAATTATATGTGGATAACTTCTTTAAATTAACTTTAAATTATGTGCCAACGAGTAATAAACAAAATTATTATTGTATAAAACTTACATATATAAATGTAAGAGTTTAGGAGTTCATTATAGAGTAGTTTCTTTTTTTTTTGTTTTTGCCAATTATGGAGTAGCCTCAAAAGTCAAGGAAATTATCTATATATGTGTGACATAAAGTTTAGGCACATTGCGTATAATTTAGCCACAACAAAGTTAAAATTAAATAACTTAAGAGGGGTATTATGAAGCATTAGAGAGACTGTAGAATCTCATATTATTTTTTTTTTTCACATTTCAAATGATAATTAAAATCCCTTTTCTTTTCAATTCCCACGCAAATTCATGTAGCCCATCCAATCTTTCAAGAAATTAATGTGTTGAACAAGCTGGCCAACAAAAAAATAGTGTGCTGAACAAGAAAATGAATGTTGAACAACAACTCTTTTCATCTATATATGAAATAAATTATTGTAATGTCATAATCATATTTAATTTGATTCTTAATGTATCCATGTGATTCCATCAAACCTTTTTATTGCTACTTCTTC